TATATATATACACCCACACACACAGATATGTGTGTGTGTGTGTGTAAACAGAACTGTATTTGGGAGCAAATAATTATGCAACCTTTTAACACGTTTTGCGGTTCCTTTGTTAAGTGGGGAAACCGTGATAAGCATAGTTGACAAAATAACATCATTTCATGTTGATTAATTGTATAATTGCAAATATCACGACAAATTTTTACACTCAATAGTTTGTCTTGGTGAAAACTTGATAGACGAAAACTAATATTGCAGCATGTCTACATTTTTCTAGACAATTGGAAATGCAAACGTGTGTCATCCTAGTGTTAACTAGCCGACCTGCAAACTTGCTTGATTTTCATAAGTTGTTTCTTGACTAATACGCTATTTTATGCTGTTGTAATGATATTAAAGGAAAGCCTACCCGATAAATAAGCTTTAAAAATCCCACAACGCAAGCAGTTTAAGTACGGTATCTTATTGCAGCTGCTTGGGCAACGCAGGTTAACTCCTACTTGTATTATATGTAATTTCATGTTTTGTTTGTAGGAATAAATAGCTGGAGTATAATAGTTGCTTTCATTTCAAGAGGAGATGCATCTTGAGAACCTAACAAAACAATAATGTAATAGGTGTTTGCCAAGTAGTATTTGAAAAACTTCACCAAAGTATGAAATCCTTTTTAAATGTTAATCTGATTGAATTGTTACTTGGTTATTTATGATTTAGGTGGTTTGAGTTAGATACTCATTTTGGAAAATTATCAAACTGATTTATCAATTAAGTAAAGATAATTTAATAAGCCTCATGAACATGTAAGTTTTAAGGAAAGTTTGATGTTATATGTGTGTTTTGAACAGTTTGCAGTAGGCTTTAGCAATACAAAAAAGGTAAACCACCTAGCAGAAATATAATAGCCGATAAATTCAACCTCAGGGAATTCTCAAATAAACTTATAAGCAATCTATTAACACAGATTGGTTGTAAGTTTTGTAAAACAAATTAAATATATTAAAATATGATTTAAAATTTCTTTGGATTGAAAAATCAACTATTAATTCTATATGTTGAGACATTGAACCCTACTCAATTTGTACTCGATGGCAACCAGTTTTGATTCCATGTGAATTTAAATGATGACATGATAAATATCACATGCATTCCAATTGATTCATGATGGTATGTCTTAACAACATTATTCCATCCATGTAACATCCTGATTTATTGAGAAATGTCTTTTTTTTTTCTTCTTTTCAACAGTGAAGTGTAATTAAAAATATTTTCATGTAGTTGAAAATTACATGTAATTAGTCTGAAGAGTCTTTCATTTCTCTTTTTCTCTCTCTTTTTTTTTTTTCAAGAGACCACTTTGACAATGATAATGTTATGCTAGTATTTTATTTTTACAGAATTGAAATGCAGTTTGTTTGTTTTGTACACAAAATAAATTATCTTTGCATTAAAAAAAAATTTTAGCATGGTCACATTTTTATATGTTACATATTGTAGATATTTTCCAAATTTCTCATCAAATTGTATTTTGTCAAAATGCTAATTGCTCTTTAACCTTAGGTTAAAATAAGCTGGTGGGTGTGCAGTTTTTACCCATTTATGGACACTTCATTGAAATATTCTATAATTCACTTTTTATGTATAAACTACTCATTGGGAATATATAAAAAAAAAAGTTTGGTTCCCAGCTTGTTGGTTGACTTGTTTCTGTGGTTTGTAGTTGTGAGTTGACCATACTTGTGCAGCTTGAGATCCCCTTAAGCTCAGCTCCTGCATATTACTCTTTGTTTCCTGTACAGAGGTTCTGACTTTTCATAGAAAGTGACAGTTAAAATTAGAGGTTGTATGTTTTTCCCAAAGGTTGTTGGAATATCTGTTTTGTGGTCAGTATGGTGATTATTGTCACTTCTCTATAAACATTATATGGTTGGTGAATGTCACAATATGGATATCATTACTGGTAGTTATTTCTTGGTCATAAAAGTGTTATAGCTTTATATGAGTTACATTTGCATACATTTGTTTAAAATAAATAAATCATCAGTGATATTTACCAACAGTAACTTGATGGTGACCAGGTATACGTGTAACATGCATAATTAGTTTGGTCAGAAGCATTGGTGTGAAAAGATAACTTGTCTTAGTGGAATTATTCTTAATTCCAGATCTTTGGAATTGTGCTGTAATAAAAATTCCAAGAGATAAAAGGAATTCTTGAAAAGTAAATGTGAAGCGCAATCTGTGATTCAATTTATCACTTATCACTGATTGATATTGGTTTCAGGAAATTCCCCTCTACATCAGTGACCCTTGACAAGGGCAATTTGGAAGAATCCGATTAGGCTTTGTAAATGACATTTCAAAACCATACATGTTTTGATTTGGTCTTGCCCATGATTACTGATGTCCCAAAATTAGTATAATTAAGTAACTAGTAATAAATTGAATGACAGATTAGCTTGACATTTAGTTTTTAGTATTTTATACAGCTTTTGGCTGAATAACTCACAAGAATAAATTAGAAGCATAATGCTTCATATTTTTGACATTCCTATATGAATATGGGATCCTTGTGTGAACAAAAGATGTCTCGAAACAACATATGTGACAGGAATTCTTGCTTTATAACAGCAAACCCAACAGGGATGAAAGTTATTTCTGTATCTTTTCTTAGCCTACTGGATAGATCTTAAACCATGATAGTTGTTCATAATATCATGATAGGGATAGCAAGGAATTTCACAAAACCTTAATAGACCGTTCAGGCAAAAACCACCTAAAACAGTAAAGATTTAGTTCAAACAACACTTTAAAACCTTTACTATTGACTGCTAAGGTTGTACACATATAAAATGTACAAAAAAAAGCATGCGTGTTAGACTTACAAGGAAAATAAAATCCACTCACAATGGCCCTTTAGTAATTCTTCTTATTAGAACAAAAAGAGCTTGATATATTGCACCCAAACCTTTTTTTTTTTAGAATATTAAATAAGGTAATGCAAAGGTCGTATGGTATTGAAAAGTCTATTTGTTTTTTCTACATTTTACATTAGCTAAAAAAAATCATAATTTTAGTGTAAACAATGTTATTGTTACCCCTTCAAAACATTTAAGTACAGGGTGAAACAAGAATTACCAGCCAGTAATAAGTGACCATACTCAATGTTTTGTACACTATGCAGTTTGAGTCTTTAGGGAGCCAACCCCTATACTATGCATGAACTCGGGAAGTAAACAAAATAAGTACAAATAATATTAAATTTTATTACACACATTCGTAGAATAATTACTTTAAAAGACACAATGGTTTATTTAAAGCAATGTTTTAGATATGTACGTTTGATTTGAGAAGGCTGCTTTTCTTCTGGTAAAATTTTATATGGGCATAGTGGGGGGTTGTGTCTTAGTCTATTGCTGTGCATTATATGTAGAGAATTTAGTGACACAGAAACTATAAATGCTCTCTATATTCTCTAATGGATAAAACCTCTAATAATTGAGGTGGTGTAAGAGTTTCTTATTACTTACAGACTTATATTCTCATGTGAAATGTTCTTTCAAACAAGATCTTACCATAACTTTAAAGTTATTTTGGTTTCAAGTTAAAATAAAACTATAAATGTAACTATGGCTGTCGTCAAAGCATTCTGATTTGTTACATGGAAATAATCAGTACAAACATGTTAGTTGTGATAAGTCTCTTCAACTTTTAGACTGAGCGACAGTAAAAAGCAGTAAGCTTAGATGGTGTTATTTGTAGAATAGTGTATCAAATGATGTTATACATACGTTTTCTTTTAAGATTTTGGATAAGTTTATGTATAGAAAAGGTTTTATGTACTTATTCTGTTAAGGTAGAAACTTGAATAAATTCAGAACATTGATAGATTATTATACTATATTTATATTTTCAGAATGTTGATAGATTATCATACAACATTTATATTTTCAGAATGTTGATAGATTATC